AAAAATCAAATTTTAAGAATGTTTTGATTTTTAAAAATTTTATATTTAAAATAAAATTCTTTAAAAATAATTTCAATAAATAATAATAAAAATAATTTTCAAAATAAATATTATCAAATAAATATTATCATTTTTGAATGACGCATAATAAATTTTTATTTACTAGAATTAAAAAGTTTTCAAATAACTAAAGGAAATAATGTTTTATTTTTTGTATTTTTAATCGACAGAAACAATTTTTTTAGCCTTAAAGTCGATCCGAAGCTTGTAATTCGTTTCACTAAAAAAATTCGCAAAGAACTCGAATACAATTTTTAATTTTAAGGGGTTAAACACTGTTCTCATTGTAATACGATTTTTTCGTAATTGTTTTTTTTTTTGCATATTTTTATGTAACATAAGCGAAAATTATAATCGTTATTTATAATAGTGAAAATAAATGAATAAATGAAATAAATCGTGCGTTTCAAATAAACTGTTTATATTCGTAATTTTATACTTCTATGTACATTTTTATTCTTTTTTTTACTTTTTAAAATTTTATTTTACTTTTTTTTAAATTTTTAAAATTTTTTCAAATTTTATTTTACTTTTTTTTAAATTTTTTTTATATTTTAAAAATTTTTTTTTTATATTTTTTTTTCTTTTTTTTCTGAGTGTTGCACATTATTATTCATTAGATATTTTAAATTTGTAACCAAAAAAAAAGAGAAACAATTGATTTTAAGTGTTGTTTTATTTTTTTTTCTAGATGCTGAACAATTCTTCGCAGGTATTTATCAAACACAAGTTGAAAACAAGCGTTACAGATTGTCAAAACAGAATAATTTTACATGTCAAAATTGTCATTGTTCGTATAAAGTGTTAAAATATCTAAATTATCATCTGCGATACGAATGTGGACGTAAAGCTCGTTTTCGTTGTCCCTATTGTAATTATACGGCAAAATTTTCTTCAAACGCACGCACTCACGTCCGAACGAAACATCCTGGTTATCAATTGTACGTCATTGACATGATAAAAAATAGTGTCTCAACAATTTTGTAAATGGAAATTATTATTTATTACGTTTCGATTTTTATTTATAAGAAAAAAATATTGTGCGTGAATAAAAATTATAATATTTGTCGTAAAAATTATTACTATTGTTAGAGAGAAAAAAATTAATGTAAAAACAATTAAAAAACAACTTAAAATTTAAAAAAGAAAAATAAATGAATGTAAATATTAAACTGATTTGTAAACTACGATTTTTTTGTCAAAAAAAAAAAAAAAAAAAAAAAATTCAGCCCGAATGTACTGCTTAATGATGTAGATTATTTTTCTTCTAATTTTTCATAAAATTACAAATTTTGGAAAAACTGATGAATATTTTTCTTTTTATTTTCAGAATTGGAGATGTTTTCTCTTCATCGTTATGTGCAGCCAAGAACAAAGAATCGTAAACAAAATTCTTTGGACGATAATGCAAGTGGGGAGAAACTATTTCCCTGTTCCACTTGTCCCAGTACTTTTAAGCATAAAAATAATTTATATTTTCATTCGAAATTCGAATGTTGTCAGGAGCCAAGATTTTGTTGTCCCTATTGTTCTTATCGCACTAAACACGTTTCGAATGTTCGAGCTCACGTTCGAAGAAAACATCCGGACAAAAAAGTCTACGCCATCGATATTTTTAAGCAAACCAAATAATTTTTTTTTGCCCATCAAAAAATTTCTCCTTTGTTGTAATTCCTAATTTAATTCCTCCCAATTTATTAAAAAAAAAAAAAAAAAAAAAGAAAAAAAAAAAAAAAAAAAGATAACAAATGTTTATTTACTCGTTGCAATTTTTTAGTTCGAAAAAGATAAGTTATTTATGAAAATATAGAGAGAAAACAATATAAGAATTATTTATTTCATCCCTATTGTTCTTACTCTAATCTTTGTGGTTTTGCCAATCAATAAAAATTGAGATAAAAATTCTGCTAATAAAAATAAAAATTAAAATGCTTTGCTTAAAATTTTAATTTTTATCAGCAGAATTTTTATCTCAATTTTTAATGGTTCTATTTTTATCATAATTTATCATAAATTTTAGTACCACAATTTTTCTTATCATGATTTTTAGTACCACAACTTTTATTCTCGAAATTTTTATCATGATTTCAATCATAATTTTTAGTACCATAATTTTTATTAGTTGAATTAATGGAAATAATTTTAAAAATGGAAATGGACTAATGGAAATAATTCTTTGTGTAAATAATATTTTTACATCCAAAGGAAAAAAAATTTAGCTGTCAAAAAATACAAGCACATGTGATTTTTTTTTTTTTTTTTTGGTACACTTGTAAAAATTTTTTTTTTTTCATTGATGAAGGAATAATTTGATGAATAAATTTTTTGCAGATTCCAATTTAGGGAAGAATGACGACTCTGGAATATTTATGTCGTCGATGCAGAGGATGTTCGATACAATTGACACGATGCCGATGAAATTTCCCTGTGGAAATTGCTCGAGTATTTTCAGTCGTAAACACAATCTTCAGTATCATTTAAAGTATGAATGTTCACAGCCACCGAGATTTAATTGTCCGCATTGTAATTATAGAACGCGACATCCGTCAAATGTTCGTGCACATGTGCGAAGGATTCATCCTGGAAGTGAAGTTTATGTGATTGATGTTTTTAAGACTGATGATTCATTACCGATTTTGAATTTTTGAAATTGAAAAAATCATTTTTTTTTGAATCCTCTTCTGCTGCAGAAAAGAGTCAAAAGACAGAATTTTATTTTTTAGCAATTAAATATTTACTTAAATTTTGAGACTCAATATGCAGACGCTAATCTCCACCTGAGAACGTCAAGGTCACCGTCAGATGGCACTTCAGTTCCTTCTCGGAATTTTTCCGCCACCTGGCGGTGACCTTGGCGTTCTCAAGTGGAGAAATTTCTTTTCAGTGTAATTTTAATAATTCAATATTTATTGAAGTTGAATATTTATTAAATGAGTATTATTTTTTACTAAATTTACTAAATTTATTAGGTTTATTAAATTGTTATTAAATTTATTAGATTTATTAAATTTACTAAATTGTATTAACTTTGAGAATTAATTTGTTTTCAAACTAAAACCATTTTTTAGTTATTAGTAAATATGTAATGTACTTAGTTCTCACGAACAAAACTTATGTAAAAAATTACGAGACAAATTTCCATATTTTGCTATATTTATTTTGTTAATTTCTTGTTTTTGTTGTGAAAAAAAAATTCTATCGGAACAATGAGCGAAAAATGCAACGAACTTTGTAAAATATTTTTGTTAGCATTACACAATAGTTTTGAAAAATTTTCCGATGTTTTGAAATAAAATTGTTCTTTACAAGAATTAATTTCTTCCAAAGAATTATTAAAACCCAAAAAGGTGATTTTAAGCTTCGTACTGCTTTTTAGATTTCTTTTTTACTTATTTGCAAAAAAATTCTTCGATCAAAAAACTTCGATGGTAATTAACAAATTTAAGCAAAAATTACTCTCGATTTGGAAAAATTATTTTTTATTTTATTGCAATTGACAAAGTAAATGAATGTTTAAAAATACAAAACTTCCTGATGAAGAACTTTTTAACATTAATAAATATTTTTTTAGTAATAGTTTTCTTTCTTTTCACCTGAGAAATTTGGTATTTTATGTGAGAAGAATAATAATTCTAATTTCCTACGGATATAAAAATGAATTTCACTGAAACATTTTGTATTTTGTTTTGCAGAATTTCAACTAGACGATGGGATTCAACAAAAATTTCAAAGCCAAGGTTTTGCGTATAAAGGAGAGAGTTGTCAGGAGAGGGAAAAATTTCCTTGTCCAAAATGTTTTAGTACATTCACGCGAAAGAATAATTTATACAATCATTTGAAATTTCAATGTGGCCGACTGCCGAGATTTGCTTGTCCGCATTGCAACTACATGACAAAACATGCCTCAAATGTTCGAACACATGTGAGAAGAATACATCCAGACAGCGCTGTTTATGTCGTCGATATCAACGCCCACCAAGCACCACAATAGTCTCGGTGCAAAAAAACAAAAAAAAATAAATAAATAAAAAAAACAAAAAAATTTTTTTTAAAATTAAAGAAAAAAAACAGAAAAAACAAAGAAAAAAATGAAAAACAGAGAAAGAAAGAAAAAATTAAAGAAATTATAGTACAAAATATTTATTTGTAAAGACTTTTTTTTATTTGAAGTAGAAAATTCCTTTTATATAATAATGTTTATAGAATTTTAGCTTACAAATGAAACTATTCGAATATTGTATGAATTTATTGAAAATTTATTGTAAATTAATTGTAAATTAATAATTTATAAATTTTATAATAAAAGTGCAATTCTTACCTTCTGTTTAATTCATTTCGAAAAGGGAATTTATTTTTCAGAATATCGTCAACTGTTGAAGGATGAGTGAATTTCGTCCTGAATTTTACAGACAAAAAAAAATCTTTTGAAGTTGAAGTAAATAAATCCTTGTCTGTAATTGTGTACTTTATAATTTTCTATTTCCACGATTGTTCAATAAAAATACAATTTTTTCAGGGGCCCCTAGTTTAATTGCATGATTAATATATGTTCTTAATGCGCATATTACTTCCGTATGCTTTAATAATGTACACAGCATTGGATATTAAAAAGTGATTTTAAAAATAGTCGAAAATTTCATTATTCTTAGTACCAATTGAAATTAATAATAATAGACAACAATAAGAAAAAAAACAATAGAAAGAATAAGTTAATACAAATAATTTGATAATTTGTTTTAGTAACGTTTTTGACTATTGTTATGATCAGATTTTAAATCTCTTTGCGAAAAAGTAGTTAATTTAGTAGATTTGACATTAAATGTTTTTTCAAATTTAAATGTTTAAATTTAGTTTTTAATAGTTTTTAATAGTTTTTAAAAAACAATCAATATTGAATTTATTATTGCTAAAGTTAATTAGTATTTTTTTTTGTTTTCTAGGCTATGGCCAGTACATGTTTGTGGGTGAAGGAGCGCAGGCGGAAGTTGTTTGGGAGAGTATCAATATATCGGATGAGAATATGGAAGGAATTGTTAATAATTGTAATGAGGTTAAACAAACAGAGAGATCGGAGAGAAAAACCAGAAAATTTGAACCTCCCGCCAAGCAAGGTCAGGTCAAATACTTAACACGATCACGTTTTCGGATGTCAGAAAGATCGACCAAGAACAAAACAATTTTCGACTGTCCGAACAATTGTGGAAATTCCTTCTTTCAAAAACTCACATTAGATAGACACTTGAAATTCACTTGTGGTCAACCTTTACGATACCGATGTCCCTACTGCAACATGTCATCGAGAATTCGAAATTGCATTAACATTCATTTGAAAGCACGTCATCCAGGTTTGAGAAACTATGTGATTGATACAACCAGTAAACCGGAAACAGAATTCGAAGAGGATTATAATTCCCCTCATATTGTGCAGAAAGTCGAGCCCATTTGGAATGAAGAGCAGGAAATCAAAATTTTAAATGTTTCTAGTCTGGCAGCATTGGATATTAAGCATGAGTATGATAACTTGGAAGATGAGGATGATAATTTCTTCAATAAACATTTGGTGAGAGCGCATAAGCGCTATGTTTGTCCGAACAATTGTGGTAATTCGTACAAACACGAGCATACTTTGAAAGTTCATTTGAAATTCGGGTGCAATAGAAACGATCAACATAATTTTCATTTAGATGATGATGAATCAGATTCGGAATACGATGTCTCTACGAATGATGTTTTAAAGGTGAAGAGTACCAACGAGTTGCTGAATCCAATGGCGATTACCGAATTGAAAAATTATGAACAAAATTCCGAAGGTAGGTGGATTTGTCCAAACCAGTGTGGAGGAACTTTCAGTAGTCGAGGTAACCTGAACTATCATCTGAAAACCAACTGTGGTATAAAAGCAAAATTAGAGTGCCCCTACTGTCTACATCGATCAAAACAACCATCTAATGGTTTCGTTCACGTCAGAAATTCTCATCCCGGTGCTGAAATTTGCCTGGTCCATGTCGACACTGGCGAAGTCTTCAAGAGCAAGAAGGAAGCTGATCAAAATCCAAACCTTGATCTCATTAACGGTTCGCCTCAACTTTACGTAGATAGGAAAAAACCCTCGGGCAAAGCTGCAAATAACTGCCAAAACTGTGGAAAGGATTTCAAATCAGAACGCACTCTGGCTAGACACATTCTCGAAGGTTGCGGCTACCCACCTCGCTTCAAATGTCCTTACTGCGATTATCAAGTCAGAAGACTGTCCTACGCCTTCTTCCACGTGTCCAAGCATCATCCAGGCTGCGAGGTCTACATGGTCGATTTAGTCACCGGTGACAGTATTACCGACCCCGCTCAAATCAAGAAAGAAGCCATCGCCGACATTGCCGACGAACCGAAACCCTTGCCCATCGATCCAGTTTTAGTTCTACGCCCCCAGAGAATCGTCAAATCCCATCCCGCCGGTCTCCAAAAGAAAAGACTCCTATGTCCAATGGGCTGCGGTCGATTCTTCTTCTTCAGAGCAAGTCTCGAAAAACACAAGAAATACTACTGTTCCCAAAACAGAACATCCAAAATTGCAATATCGTCAAGTCGCTACAAATGTCCCTACTGCGAGAATCGCTACGAACACATCTCCAGTCTCTTCAGACACATCAAATCCACTCATCCCACGAAGAAGAAACACTTCATCGACACCCACGAGGAGGAAATCGTTCCCGAGAGCGCCAATTCCCCCATACCTCCCAAGAAGGAGCCACCACCAAAAGCAAAGAAACTGCCGAAACAGTCCGAAGACTTAGATGAGAAGACTGATGATAACCTAGAAACTAAGGAACCTCCCAAAGTATTCGTATGTCCCAATAAATGCGGCAGTAGTTTTGCAAACCTATGCAACGTTCAGCGACACATTCGTTTGAATTGCTCCAAAGCTCGTCGCTACAAATGTCCTCAGTGCAATTATCGATCTCAAAAATTCCTCCAAATAGCGAAACACGTAAAGGCTAATCATAAAACGAGTAAAATTTACGCCGTCGATTTCTTCACGAAAAAACAAATATTCGGGGAACAGAGACACAGACCAACTAGGCGCATCGTGCCACCCAAGACTGAAGAGACTCCAACCATCGAAGTAAAACCCGTTGTAAAACGAAGAGACCCACAACCAAAAGCCGACAACAAGACCGGTAAAAAACGTTTCCCCTGCACCAACAACTGTGGTCGCTCCTTCAGCACAAAACGTGCCGTCACTATGCACTTCCGTCACATCTGCGGAAAAGCCCCACGTTTCAAGTGTCCCTACTGTACCCAAATTTGTCGCCACCAAGGCAACATGACAATACACATTAAACATCGTCATCCCGGCAAGAAGAACTACATGATCGACATCAGTAAGAAAAAGAAATCGCCAACCGAAAACAAGAAAGAAGAAAAACAGGAGAGAGGAGAAATTAAAGAAGAAAAGGAAATTAAACAAGAAAAAGTAATCAAAGGAACAGTAGTTAAAGAAACAGTAATTAAAGAAGAGAAGGAAAGAAAAGAGAACGTCGATGACAAGACGAAAACCACGTCCATATTCGGGAATTCAACGAAGCGAAAGATTCCCAGACTATTTAATTATAAAAGACGAAGACTGATGTGTCCTAACAATTGTGGTCGTTTTTTCACTTCCCGCGTGAAATTGAAATTGCACACGAGCACCGTTTGCAAGAACCCAGTGAACACTAAATGTCCCTACTGCCCAAAAGTGGGCAAATACGCATGGAACATTGATAGGCACATAAAGCAGCATCATTCCGATGTAGATAGGAAACAAATTCTCCAAGAACAACAGGATTCAAAGAACGAAAAAATAGAGGACGAACAGGAAGAAGAGGTGGAGCTGAAACTAACCGACAATATCGAGGAGGATTCACCCCAGGATTTGGAGAATCTTCCAAAACCAGAGGAGGCAGACGATATTGAAATGAAAATGGTCAACGAACCCGAAAATGCAGAAGAAAAAGTCGATATACCGGACACACCATCAAGTACTAATTCGTCAAGTACAGCTTTGGATAGTCCATCCAAGAAATTTGTGTGTCCGAACAATTGCGGAAAATCGTACCCCAAGGAATCGAGTCTTAAGAATCATTTGTTCTTCACTTGTCAAAAACCCGCACGCTACGCTTGTCCGTACTGTCGAAGCTGTTCCAAAGTCACCTCCAATGGTTACGTGCACGTGAAGAGAATGCATCCCGATCGGAAGGTTTACCTCATCGACATCACTACTAACAAAGTTATCCGTTCAAGAAGAATGGCACCGGATCGAAGTCGCAGCTACGATATGGATAGAGAAGACGATAGGGAATACGAAAAGGAAGATGGTAGAGAATCCGAAAAGGAAGACGATAGAGAATACGAAAAGGAAGACGATAGAGAATACGAAAAGGAAGATGATAGAGAATACGAAAAGGAAGATGATAAGGAAGATGAAAGAGAAGACGATAGGGAAGACGATAAGGAAGATAAAGATGACGTCGATATGGAAGAAGAAATGGCCCTGTCGACAAACGTCGATATCGACGTTGATGAACCCGACGAGCCTGATGAACCGATTTTGGGTGCCGATGAGGAATTCACAAACGATCCGATCAGTTCCGAACGAGAATCATTAGAGATGAAGCAGAAGGAGGAGGTTTTTGTCTGTCCGAATAATTGTGGCAGTTCTTTTACTCATGAGAATAAATTGAATAATCATGTTCGTGATCAGTGTGGACCACCACGCTTTAAATGTCCTTATTGTTTTTACATTACAAGAGAGCCGTCTAATGTTTACGCTCACATTAAAAATAAACATCCCGATGAGAGGATCTACATGATTGACACTGACATGAATCAAAGCTGTAATGAGCCAGACTCACCTACAGGCAATGAAGACAATTAGATTTTTAGGTGTGTTGGATTCTTTTTCATTTTATCAAAAAATACATTAATCTTCTGTGCTACTGTGTACTATGTGCTTTAAAAAAAAATAAACTGTTTGTTTTCATTATGGAAATTATGTGGTTATTGTACCAAAGCTGAAACTGCAGCCATCTGCTGTATTTCTGAAAGTTGATTCTTTTTGCAACTGGGTTATTGAAACTTTTCACTTTTTAGAACAATTGGGTGGTGGTTTCAAATTGAAATTGGCATCCGGTTGTGTTTCACTTTTGAAAATTAATTCTTTTGGAAAGCAACAAAGAATTTTGAAGTTATAACTGGTTGTTAGATACAAGCTGAAATTGTACCATTCTGTTGTGCTATACTTTTCAAAATTTACTTTTTTTTAAACCAAGATCTGGAAACAATATCTGGATGGTTGTTTTAATCCGTAACTGGCACCCGGTTGTGATCCACTTCTAAAAATTAATTCTTTTTGAAACCGAACTAGAATTTTAAAACAATAACTGGGTGGTAGTTTCAATCCGTAACTAGCACCCGGTTGTGGTCCACTTCTGAAAATTAATTCTTTTTGAAACCAACAAAGAATTTTGAAACAATAACTGGATGGTGGTTTCAAGCTGTAACTAGCACCCGGTTGGGGTCCACTTTTAAAAATTATTTTTTTTAGAAACCAACACAGAATTTTGACACAATAACTGATTGTTAGTTTCAAACTAAGTCTGGCACCCAGTTGTGGTGTCCCACTTTTGAAAAATTCCTTTTGGAAACAATAACTGAGTGCAGTTTCAGTTTCAATTCTCTTAGTGGTTTTGGGTTCACAATATTATGATGAAAAAAATTTTCCGAAATACGTTTCTTTCACTTCTTTTTCAAAAGTCACGATTTGTTAAGCTTACTGTAGTAATTACTGCTAAAAGAAATTAATTTTTTTGGGAAGAAAGAAGTGAGTTTTTGAATGCTAATTGTGAAAAAAAAATTTTTTGTTTTTTTTTGCAGATATTTCGCAAGGTTGGCATAGAACTTTATTAATGGAGCACAAGTGTTCAACATGTAATAGCACTTTCCAAAGGAGGAGTAGTCTTTTGAGGCATAAGCGTTACACGTGTGATGATATGAAACGTTTCGCTTGTCCCTATTGCCAACATAAATCGAAATTAGCCAGTAATGTCTATAAACATGTTCGTCATTTTCATCCTGATTCTGAAGTTTTTACTATTGATAATTATATGCTTTGTAAAAAACAGCCTTGAGTGGTGAATAAATATTTTTAGCCTAGTCTCTCTCACACTTCTTTTTCAAAACCAATTCCTTATTTGTTATATTCCTTATTTCGACATTTTGTATTAATTTTCAATTATTTTTTATAAAATTTTTCTAAAAAGTTATTATTTGTAAAAATTTGTATAAATTTAGTGATACAGTTGTCGATTTTTCAACGCCAAAAATGTTCAGTTTTGCAAAAAAGTGGCAAGAAGGGAAAATTTGTAGGTTAGGTGCGTGGCGGGAAAGAAACTGGACGCGCAGGCGCAAGGCGGCTGCGCGGACAGTTTCTTTCCCGCCGACGCCACAACCTAACCTACAAAAAAAAATTCTAATATTGATAAAAAAAATTCTAATATTGGTAGATGGATAAAAAAAATAATCATTTCTCACATTTAACGCAGCAATTAACAAAAAAAATGTTAAACATAATTAATTATAATTTTCGACAAAAAAAAAAAAAAAAAAAATTTCTTTAACGAATTTATAATTTATGTTTTTGTAGATTTCACGACACAGACGATGTTTGGCGATAGGGAAGAATTTGTGATGAATAATTTTGACGACGAGATGAATCATCATCATAATAGTTCAACGAACATTAGTGGAGTTATTGGATTTTCGGATAGAAAATTTCCCTGTCCAACGTGTCCCAGTGTTTTTCGTCAAAAGCCAAGTTTAACGAGGCACATTAAATACGAATGCCTTCAACCGCCAAGATTTGCCTGTCCTTATTGCAATCATCGAAGCAAGAAAACGTCGGACATTTATGTTCATGTTCGTAGAAAACATCCCACTTGTAAGGTTTTTGCGATTGATATTCATGGTGATGTTAGTTCGGGGAATCTTCATCGAATGCCATAAATTTGAAAAAGAAATTAATTATTTGTTTTTTTTACAATAAATAATCGGGTGATTATATAAAATCATAAACTTTTTGTTTCGTTAATTAAATTATGACTAATATTTTTTTTCTTTTTTTTATTAATTAATTGCTAATATTTCTACATTTTGTTAAATTTCGGTTAAACAGAATCTATATCTAGTGTTAAATAATTTTAATTTAATCAAATTAACCCTGATGGTATTTTTTTATAATAGAATTCGTTTTCGATTTTTTTTTCAACAAATTCAATAGATTCGACAGGAATTGAATTTTCAGTGCAATACAACAATTAATATTTAAAAGTTTCTGACAAATGTACAAATGTATTATAATATTACTTTCCTAAATAAATTAATAAAAAATCGTTTATTACTTGACAAATTTTTCGTTTACTGTTTATTTTACTGTATAATGATTTTATTCTTATGAAGATTATTTTTATTCTTATTTTAATTTTTAAGTTATTTTATTGTGTATGATTTACAATTTTTATTAATTTATTTATTGCATATTAAAATTGTTAATTAAGTAAAGTATATTAAATTATTATTTACGTTCGTTTTTTTTTTGTAGAATTATTATGTGAATTAATTTTTTTTTTAATAGATCGTCTTTATAGGTGTTTATGTTTTGCATGAAAAATTTTTTTTCTTTATTTAGATCCGCTTTCTTGTTATTCGTTTGTCTTAATAAAAGTGAATCAATTCATTTCATAAAAATGCAATCATTGTTTATTAATGTCACAGAGCTTTTATTAAAGTTTTTTTGTTTTTAGGTTTTTTTTACCGCTTTTGTTTAATTCCCGCTCACAATCGACGAAATTGTTCTTGAGTTTGAAAAATACTTGAAAATACTTATAAAATCTTTCCTCTCGTTTTTAGAGATTTCGAAATTTTGGAAAAAAAATTTAGAACTTGTTTTGAAGTTTCTTTGAATTATCTTCGAACGTTCTTTCAATTTCTTTACAGTTTTCTACAAATTTTCTTTAAATTTCCTTTCAGTTTTCATTTTTTTTTTTTTTTTTTTTTTTGAATAAATTGTTCACCATCCGACATGTAAGACGAAAGATGTTGAAATTCTCGAAATTGTATCGACATTTTATTTCATCACAAGAAAAAAAATGCTTTAGCTACTTTATACTTTTTTTTAAACTAAAAATTATTTTTCCTGATTTAATTTCATTAACGGATTATAATTATATTTTTGCAGCGTTATTGCAACTTTGTTCACTGCCATGGTTTGAGGACATGTGCTCAACGGGGAGGCAAAAAAAATTACGGATGCGATTTCCATGTCCCCGATGTCAAAAGAGTTACACAACGAAAAGTGCAGTAACGGCACATTATAATTACGACTGTGGAAAACCCCCTCGTTTCTCCTGTCCCTATTGCGGAAAACTTAGTAAAAAGAAGTTCAATGTGCAGGATCACATTCGTCATAAGCATCCTAATAAGCCTGTTGTTTGCAACACTCTTTTTTAAACACAAAAAAAAATACAATAAAAAAACAACAAAATAAAATAAAAGCAAAAAAAAAACCACATAACAAACAAAAAAACCAAAATAAAAAAAAATAAAAGTAAAAAAAAATAAGAAAACAAAAAAAAATACCAAAACGAAAAATAAAAAAAAAAAACACCAAAACAAAAAGAAAACTGTTTTTATTAACAAAATGTGTCGACAGGAACGACAGAACCATAATAGTATCGTAAATTATTACTATAGATTTTATTTTCGAGATGGAGATAAATTATTATTATCCAAAGACTATGTAAATTAGAAGTGTTAGGAAAAGATGTCTATATTTTTCTCTAAATGATTAATATTGTTAATTATGAGATAATAGGTGAATTTGTGTATTTTTTAGTAATATTGAATTGAGTACCTTTTTCAGTTTCGTTTATACGTAGCGAGTGAATAAAGGGGCACAATTAAAAAAATAGTATTTGACGATTAATTATTTTATTAAAATGTTATTATATTATGATATTTGTCAATAAATGTTAACGAAAATTTATATTTTTTGCTGTAAATGTCAAGTTTCGAGGAAACGTACCTAGAAATTTATTTTGAGGTTATGTTTGTGCCATTTTTAACCACTTTTTACTTTAATTAAAAGTTTCTGTATGTAACTTTTAGTCTTAAACTTTTTATTTTTGGACTAAAACAGAACAAAATCAGTTTTTAATTATTTTAGGTGCAATGCAGATTTTAGTTTTGTTTTCATTTCGAAAATTACAAATAACCTAAAAATTTTTGTTTCTTAGATACCTTTCTTCGGAGCGTGTCACAAATTTATTTAGAGTTCATAAAATATGTATAAACTATTTCTCATGTCTTTTTTCGGTATATTTGTCTAAATAGTGTATTGTCTCACTAACTTGAGTGAAAAATTACTTCATTGACTTTGTAATTTTTTTTTGCATGACTTTATTTAGTGCGAGAATTAACCAAAAAAAAAAAAATTGAAATAATTTTAATTTCTTGTGACAATTTTCAAATTTGTTATAAATTTTTTTTAGGTGGTCCAGGTGGGTTACAGTTTCCAGTGGAATGTTTCTGGAAAAAACAATATAGGGAGTACAATATACTCACTTGCAGATATCATTGTCCAAAGTGTAATAAAGGTTATCGAGGAAGGCATTCTATGATAAGACATTATCGTTTCGATTGCAATCAACCGCCTCGTTTTAAGTGTCCTTTTTGTCCACTGATAAGGAAACAGATTTCGAGTATTTATCAGCATGTCAGGGCATTTCATCCTCAGGAGCAAGTCACTGCACTTGAGAGAATTTATTAATTCGTTTTTATTTACTTTTAGAATTTATTAAATTTTCGGCTTTGTGGAGAAAAATGAATAGGAAGGAAAATATAATTAATATTATCGATAAATTAATTAATATTAATATTATTTTATCGATTTTTCTCGGTGTGTTATGAAAAAGATCGGGGGGATAGAAAGAGACGGAGAGAACTTAACGGCCCCTGTGCTTTTGACGCATGCGCGTCACGAGAAGCAACTGCGCTTGCGCCAGTTTTTTCTACGAATGAGAGAGAGAGTGGCGCAAGCGCAGTTGCTTGTCCTGACGCGCATGCGCTAGGAGACGGAGACAAAAGAGGGGACGTTACGAATTCTAGCTGTCTCTTTCTATCGACTTGACGCTTTCATCTATTTGTTAGTACTACTATTTGTACAGATTCGCGAATATGATAACTTTACCACTACTAATAAAATTTAATTTTTAACTGTACCCGATTGCAATTCACAAATTGTAGTGAAGAGCTCAAGTTTCATGTAATGTTTCAAATAAGTTATTGTAATATTTTTTATAATATTTAAAATAATAATATTTAACATTTTAATTCTAATTCTAATATTTAATAATTCATTTTTGAATTACAAATTTTGTTTTTTATCAACTAATTACATTTTTTTTTTGATCAAACAAAAAGTACATTCTTTCAAAAGACAATTTTTGTTCTACATCAAATATCGATCATTTCGCAACATTTCTTTTTCAGACTCAAGAAGTACAGAAATTGAATTGAACATTTTTCATTTCGCATTAAAAATACTTTTCCACGATGATTTTTTCCTTCTTTTTGAACAATGAAAAAATTACTATCTTCTATTCTAATGTGGAAATTATTATCATTTTCAGAATCGTGGCGACAGCAACAACAGCCGCTAGTTACAATAGGCGAACAACAAGAACAAGATAACGACGGCTCATCATCTCCAAATCAAAAATATTCGTGTCCAAAATGCAAAAAAGTTTTCTCACAAAGCTATTCAATGTATAGACATTACAGATACGAGTGCCATGATTCAATGCCACGCTTCCAATGCCCTTATTGCTTTCACATTAGCAAATGGAGTCATTCTATTTATAACCACATTCGAAAATTACATCCTGGACAAACCGTTACACTCAACAAACTTTATTAGCTGCGCATTGCGAGCAAGAAGACTGTTTTAATGTATTTTTCAGACAATAAAAAGAAATTTAACAAACAAAGAACAAAAAGGAAATTGATTTTCGATATTTTAATTAGAAATAAAGGTGGTATTGGGAATATTTATTTTGGGGGCCGAATATAAATTACATGAGACATTTCTTAATTTCCCCCCTACATTTTTTAAAAAGCGCAAATTTTTTATATTAACCCCCCCCCCATTTACGTAATTAATGGTCCTCCCTTAGTCTTATACGTAATTTATGATCGACCCCTTAGTTAGAATTGTAATTATTAATATAATATATTTAAAATTTTTAAATATATTAAAATATGTTATTTAAATATTTTTAGAAGTCATAGATTATATAAAAGATGTTTAAAATTCCCTTATTTGGCCTAATGATCAGACAAAGGCTAAATTAATTACAAAGTTTGTCCATTAGGCAAAATAAGGGAATTTTAAACATTTTATTTATATAATCAATATCAATATTGTTTTTTGTTTCTATTTTTGTAATTTAGAATTGTAATTAAGAAATTAAAAATTTTTTTTTGCTGATATTGATGGTAATTTAACAAGAAACAAAAAATGTGTTTTTCAGGAAATTATCATCAGACAAGAAGTGAGCAGGTTAATTACTCAGAGGGTATTTTAAATCAGTATCCACCGCAAGGCAGTACGAATCCAAATGATAAAAGCTTTCATTGCGCTTTCTGTAATTATTTAACGAAATACAGTTCCAATATGTATAAACACATTCGACGAAAACATAAATCAAATGTTCCCTTAGGCGAGAACAATGTGTATTTTTATAAAATGTATAATATGTAAAAAAAAGGAAAACTCATAAAAAAATGATTTTTAACAAACTTGGTAAATTACTGTCCTTTAACTTCTTTTCCTTTTTTTTTCCCTTATTTTTCGACTGTCGAATTCGATTTTTATCCTTTTCGTTTTTTTGTCCTTTTTGATCCTTTATCGTTTCTGCTGAATTCGTATTTTTGAACCCTCTGCCTACTGAATTGTCCGTTGTCCGAAATTCGGTCAAAAAAAACCGACCGTTATTTACGCTTGCGCCACTGGCACTTTCCTATTTGGTAGAAAATGGTGCATTTAAAATAATTTAATAGTTTCCAATCGATATTAATTTTTTGAATTTATTTATCATTACAAAACAGTAAGGGAGGGGAAAAAAGTCGCGCGCAGGCGCAAAGCGGCTGCGCGAGTCTTTTGTCCCCGGCGTCATTACTTTTTTCCCGCCTACTTTCCACTCACCTTCCTATTGGTTGAAAATAGCGCTCTTATTCGAAACATAAACAATATTTTCCAAATTCCAATCGACATTAATTTTACTAAACTTGTTTAAGATTAATATTTAGTAGGAATAATTTTCAAAGACCTTAAAGAGCAAATATTTGTCGCAAATGTATTCAAATACAATACTTTAGAAATCTATATTTACATTTTGATATTTAAATATTTGATATTTAATAATTAATGTTTAATAATTTATATTTGATATTTAGTAATTAATATTTGATATTTAGTATTTAGTATTTGATATTTAGTAATTAATATTTGATATTTAGTAATTAATATTTAATAATTTATATTTAAATATAAAATAATTAATGTTTAAATATTTGAGCAATTTAAATAAGCGCGGTCTTTTCTACTAATGAAAGAGGGAGAGTGGCGCAGGCGCAGTTGATTCTGGCGACGATCGTTGGCATCTTTACAGTAACTGCGCATGCGCCACTACTTTCTACCAATGAAAGAGAGTCTGTGGCGCAGGCGCAGTTGCTTTTCGTAACGGTCGTTGAAAATTCTGATCCGCCTGGTGGGGGATTATGGGAATTATATTAAAAAGCGTTAGAATGGAGATAAGTAAAAAGTAGGCAGAGCGTTAAATCAGAAAAACGGACCGAAAATTTCTTTTTAGCATTTTTTTAAAAAATATTTTTGATATAAATAATATATATATAAAAAAATATATTAATAAAATATATAATGTATATAAAATATATAAAATACATAATATATATAGAATACATAATTAATATAAAAGTAGGTACATAAGGTGCATAAACTACATAGAAAAAATGTCTCGCCATTACAAACTGTAGCTTAATTTGTCAATTTCTTGCATTTCCATTTTGACTTTTTTCCCATATCAGTATTTTTTGTGATGATTGTTATTATAAATATACATGAAAATTTGAAAAAAAAACCTGACCAAGGGAATTTTGTTTTCTTTGTTCATAGGTTTTCTTTTTGATAACAAACCAGCGCTCCACAATCTCCTGCGAATTAAGAAGATAACAGAAGTGGGCATGGCTCATGAAGAAGAACCAGTGCCAATGATGTTTCAAGAGCCCCAAATGACATTCAATTGTCCAAGATGCGGTGCTGGCTATACGTATGAAAAAACGCTGAAAACACACATGAAGTATGATTGCGGTCAAATTCCAAGATTTGCCTGTCCATATTGCACTAAACGTGATAAATGCAGTTCGAATATTTATAAACATGTCAGATTGCGACACGGCGGTCTTCCAGTAAAAATACTCAGAAATTAATATTAATATATAATATAAATTTAACTTTTAAGAAAAATTTATGTTCTTGTTTTTTTTTCTTAGTTTTCAAATTTTGGTTTCTGCACAAAGTGCAGATTATAAGTGCGAATTTGTTTATGTGTGTGTGTGTGTGTGTATTTGTGAAGCTCGTCGGTGAAAGGTTTTTTCGAAAAAAATTTTAGGTTCAATGATCGTGTTTTACTTTTGTGGAATTTTTTTTCACTTTTTCTTTTTCCTTGCAAAAAGGAATATTTTGAATAACGTACAAATTTAAATATTTGTATCAAGAGAGAGAAAATACTGTACTGGCCCCTCTTTACTCTCTCTACGAATGCGCGAGCGTAGAGAAGCGACTGCGCTTGCGCCACTATGAGCGGCGCATGCGCAGTCGCTGCTCGCGACGCTCGCGTATGCGTAGAGAGAGTAAGAGGGGCCAGTACACTATTATCACTTAAAAATTAACTTAAAATTTTTTTTTCGGCAGCTACAGAACCTTTTCACCGTAGAGCATAAAATTTTTAGTAAAACAGATAATAATAAATCCATAAAAAAAAGAAATTTACTGGAGAGAAGAAATTTTCGTTTATAATCGACTGTTCGTTTTAATATATATATAATAACAACGCAATTTTTTATTTTAATAATATAACGAAATATATGTGAAAAAAAATCTATTTATTGAGTATTAAATTACATTTTGTATTTGTGAAGTAATTATAAATTATATTTTACGAAATGTACTTTTTAATTTTAATGTAATTGAAATTTGGCCTGATTTATACAATTGTATGAAATTGTATGCTTTGAAATAAACTTATCAAAGTGAATCATAGTAAATGAAACATGATACCTTCTTACTATTTTTTTTCAATTTTTGCTTGGAATGTTTAAAAATTATTTTCTGACAGTGTGTTTTTGTTTCTTTTTTATTGTAAACAACAAACCTCTAGTTTTCGAATTAATAAAATTCCAAGTTTTCTCCTTTTATACATTTTTGTTATCTTATTATTATTAAAATATTTTTTTGGATGAAAATAATTTTAACGTGATTTTTTTCTAATTTTCTTTTTTCAGATTGGGAATACGTACACTGGAGCTCGTCAAATCTGCAATGTCCGAAGTGTAATAAATCCTTTAGGAGAGTGAAGGATCTAAACTATCATGTGAAACATTTTTGTGGTTATGGCTGTCGATTGAAATGTCCCTACTGTCCCAAACTTGCGAAGCATTCAGGAAGTATTGCGTATCATATAAAAACGTACCACTCTGGAAATTCTGTGTATTATCTTAAACTAGCCTAATTAAACAATTTTTTAATGGTGAAACAAATAAATTTTATTTGTCGAATCCATCAAAAAAAGAGAAAAGTTTGTTAAACATTTATTTATAGAAATAAAAAAAAAGGAAAATTTACTCTAATTTTGTGAAATTAATTCTTTTTTGTTTAAAACAATTTCAATTTTATTTCAATCCTGCAAATTAATTCTCAAAGAAGAAAAATATTTCAAGTGAGTATGAATAAAAAAACTATTTCAAAAAAACATTTTCCCTTTTCTGCTCTGTCCAATTCGTTACCTCCTGCCTGGAAAGTGTAATATTTTGCATGGTTATATATCTACTTTTTTGTAGAGAAAAAAAAATCGTATATTTATACAATTTAATGACATTTTATATTTCTTTTTTTTCAGGAATTTATTTACACTTGGCGAAATATGCAACTCTGCACGCCGCTGAACAATCACGTGAAAATTTCAGCGATGGAAATCCTAGATTTAAATACTATCCCAACGAGCACAAACGATATGAGTGTTTAAATTGTTCTCGTCGTTTTACTCAGAAAACAACAATTTTGAGGCATTTGCGTTATTTTTGTGGACAGGGTCATCAATATAAATGCCCCTATTGTCACATAAAAGCCTCATGCTCGAGTAATATTTATAGACACGTCAGGGCAAGGCATTCTGGAAAGGAGGCTCGTTCAGTTAAATTGTTTTCATTGAAACGTGATCCAATAGCCACGTTAATGTAAAATGAGTATTTTAAATTAAAAACCAACAGCAGAGGAGTGAATATTATTTCATTGATGTAAAGTTCACAAGTGAGAATTTATTCACTGTTGTGAATCTTGGTTGATTTTATTAATTTTGTTTGGGGATAAATCATATTTGACATTAATCACATTTGACATTAATCGTATTTGGCATAAATCATTTTTGACATTAATCACATTTGACATAAATCATATTTGACATTAATCACATTTGATTGTTTTTATATCAAATGCGATTTATGTCAAATGGGAATAATTTCAAATATTAATGTCAAATGTGATTTATGCCAAATGTTATAATTCACATTAATATTCAATTATTCATTCATGTCATTTACATTTGACATAAATCACATTTGACATTAATATTTGAAATTACTCACATTTGGCATAAATCATAATATTTACATAAATCACATTTGATTATTTTTATGTCAAATGCGATTTATGTCAAATATGAGTAATTTCAAATATTAATGTCAAATGTGATTTATGTCAAATGTGATTAATCATATTTGGCATAAATCACATTTAATATTAATTACATATAGAATAAATCCCAATTTTTATTATCTAAAATGCGATTTATATTAAAGAAGATTAATGGAAAATGAGTTTTTATCTATTTTGATGTAAATCACATTTGCTGTTCTAACGAAAATGCGATTTATGTAAAAAGAGATTAATGTAAAATAACTATTTTGTTTATTTTGATAAAAATCACACTTATTTTTGTCGAAAATATGATTTATGTCGAAAAAGTGTTTTACATTTTGAATCTTTTCTTTTTTTTTTAAAATGAAATTATTTTTTATCCGAAATATAGTTTATGTTAAAAGAGATTAATGCAAAATGGGTTTTTTTCTATTTTAACATAAATCATATTAGTTTTTTTTTTAACTAAAATGCGATTTATGTTAAAAAATATTAAGACAATGTGATTTATTAAACTAAAATGCGATTTATGTTAAAAAATATTATTAATTTTTTTTCTATTTTGACATAAATCACACTCGTTTTTATCCAAAATATGATTTATGTTGAAAGAGATTAATGCAGAATGAGTTTTATTTGTTTTCATATAAATCACATTTTAGTTAAAAAAAAGGAGATTTATGTTAAAAGAGTGATTTTTTTCTATTTTGACATAAATTACACTTATTTTTATCCAAAATATGATTTATGTTAAAAGAGATTAATGCAAATTGAGTTTTATCTATTTTCATTTTTAATCGCATTTTAGATAAAAAAAATGTGATTTATGTTAAAAGTAATTAATGCAAAATGATTTTTTTTTCTATTTTGACATAAATTACATTTTTTAAATCAGAAGTATGATTTATGTTAAAAGAGATTAATGCCAAATGAGTGTTTCTTATTCTGACACATTTATTTTTATCTAAAATGCGATTTATGTTAAAAGTGATTGATGCAAAATAATTTTCTTTCATTTTTACATAAATTAGATTTTTTTAATCAAAAGAGTGATTTATGTTAAAAGAGATTAATACAGAGTGTGTTTTTTTCTATTTTAACATAAATCACATTTTAGAAAAAACATGTAATTTATGTTAAAAAATCACATTTTAGAAAAACATGTGATTTATGTGATTTATTTTTTAAAAAATCAATAAAAAATAAGAATTTTCATCAAGATTCACGACTAGTGAGATTTATGTGAGATTTATGTCACATGAAATTTATGTTAAGTAGATTTGAAAGAAATATTTATGAGTCTCAAAATTGCACAATTATTATTGTGAAAAAAATAATTCTCGATAACAATTACAATTATTGTTGACGGTTAAAAATTGGTGCAATGAAAAAGAAAATAATTTCAGAAAGTAAAAGAATAATAAATTATTGTCTTGATAAAATAAGTATTAACTGATTAAAATAAGTATTTACTTTTAAAAAAGAAAAGTAAAGTAATCGACTTGTTTATAGTAACTAAAAGTATTAGATAATTAGTCATGTGTTTTATCTACCAAATTTGTGTGATGCAAATTTAGTGGCTAGGGAAAAAAAAGATATTTTTGTTTAATATTTTATGCGTTTTGTATGTTTCATCATATACACGAGTGCCAATGAATCTTTTTTTTTTATTCAATATATTGTTTGTGAATTTTTTTTTATTAATTAAAGCAGATAGTACGAAGATTTTTATTAACGAAATGTTAATTTTGTACACATTTTTTTCTTCAGTTTATGATTAAGAAGAATTTTATAATAAAAAAGAAAGTAATTACAATTTGATGCAATTGTTATTAATAATATTATTTATAGCAGAAGATTGTTTATTTGAATATAAATTTTCAAAGGGGGAATTGGAAATAATAACAAATTTTTTCTGTTTTTTCAGATTTTCGGAGGAGAATTTATTGTCAGAGGAAAATTACTTTTTTAACTGAAAAATCACATTTATGTACTTGATACATCCATGGAAAGAATATTGTTAATTTTTTTTGCAAATTTACAAATAAATAAATTTTTATTATTTTACAAATTTACAATTAAATAAATTTGTTTTTTTTACAAATTTACAATTAGGATAAATTTGTTTTTTACAAATTTACAAAAAAGTAAATTTTTATTATTTTATACATTTATAAATAAATGAATTTGCTTTACTTTATAAATTTATAAATATAAATTTTTCTTCTTTTTATAAATTTATAAAAGCAAATTTTTATTCTTTTTAAGAATTTATAAACAAATAAGTTTTCAATTTTTCTATATAAATTTTTTTTTAACAATCTGAATTTAGATTGGAGAAATAAAAAAACTTCAGTAATTTTTTTTAACAACTGAATTTGGATTGTAGTATTAAAAAATAAATCATTAATCTTTTTTTTTAAATTTGTTACAAAATAGGTAAAATCACTGCAGTAATTACAGCATGAAAAATAGCATTCGCTATTTTCTTAATAATTGTTTCTTTCGAAAAATTCAATTTTATGAATTTCTTTATAACAAAAATTTATTTTTTTCAGTATGTGCCATGTTCAGGACGAATATGAGCGGAAAATTGGGATCGAGGAGAAAAAATTCAAATATCGAAGCGCACAAGGCAGATGTCAGGGGAAATTATGAATGTCCAAAGTGTCATAATTCGTACAGATGGTATAGAGGATTGCATCGGCATTTGAAATATGAATGCGGAAAAAATCCTCGATTCCGATGTCCCTATTGTTCTTACATTGGAAAACACAGAAGCCACGTTTATTCCCATATAAAAACAAATCATCGTGATAATCCTGTTTATGCTGTCGACCTTAATGATAGCGATTAAGAAAAACCTTTTTTTTCCTTTTTTTGGAAATATTTGTAAATTTTTATTTTGAAAAATTACTTTTTATTTATCAAATTTTATGTGTGATATTTTTTTCTCAAAAAGAAACTGCAGTTTTTTTTTGGAGTCAATAATTATTTACAGCAACCCAATTTATTGTATTAATACATAATTGTTTTATTTAAAAAATTGTTTTAAGAAATTATTTTTAAAAAATGTTTTAAAAAATTGTTTAAAAAATTGTTTTAAAAAAATGTTAGAAAAAATATTATTTTAAGAGATTTTGTTGTTTTCTGTCTCTGGAAAAATGGCGAATTTAATAAACTTTTTTAAAATAAGATAATAAAAATACAAATCTCAAGAATTTTTCGACGTTTTATTAGGAAACTTCCTTGCAAAAAATATAATTTTGAAAAATTATTTCAATAATAATTATAAATAAATAATTATCAATTAAATTATAATTTGCTTCTTGTTGTTGCAAAATTTTATAAATTCAATAATTATAAACAAAATTATTAAATAAATAATTATAATTTGCTTCTTGTTGTTGCAAAAATTTGTAAATTAAATAATTATAAACAAATTATTAGTTAAATAATTGTAAATAAATTATTAATTAAATAATTATAAATAAATTATGAATTAAATAATTACAAATAAATTATTAATTAAATAATTACAAATAAATTATTAATTAAATAATTAGAATTTTCTGCTTTTTGTCACAAGAAGAAAGTTAATTTCATGGCATGATTTTGTATCATTTTAAAAATTTCATCTTCATTCGGCTTAGTTTTCACATATATCATGCATGAGATTTTCAGAGAGAAAATCCTTTTTCCAAATTAACAATAAACATGCTTTTTTTGCATGAAAAAAAAAAAAATTGGCGAGGCTTTGGTGGAAGAGACGAACCTTACGTATTATATTCGTAATTATATTTTTCATTTTGTCACTAAATTTTTATTTATGTTTCAAACATTTGTTCCTTTCTGTATATTTCTTTCTTGCATTTTTTGTTGTTAAATTTTTTTTTTTAGAAACATTCATTGTAAATTTACCATAAATTCATTTCATTTATTTGTGTTTTATTTCTTTTGTTTTTAGTATTATTATTTTTATTGTTGTTGTTGTTATTATTATTTTTAATGTTAGTATTATTTATTTTTTATACTTGTTATTATTATTATTGTTTAATTATTATTATTAATATTTAATTTTTCTCGTTCTTTTTTGTTGACCTTTAAAAATAAATTTTGTTTTTTTTAACAAATGTCCGCAGACTGGGTGGCAGCTTTAAATTTTCCAAAATACTATCCACGTAATAACAGCACCAGAAGACACGATAATTGTGAATTGAAGTTTGCCTGTCCTCATTGTGGTTTTCGAAATAAACGAAAGGATCACATTTATCGACACATTCGCAGGAAGCATCCGAATGAAGCTGTTTGTTACATCGATCTTTCGCTGTTGCAATGAGAGGAGGAAAATTATTTCACTCGAATAATTCGTTACCTGATTATGAAAATTTTTTATCTGAGTCATAATTGACATTTTAATTTGGGTCATAATTAACAATTTAATTTGAGTCATAATTAACAGTTTAACTCGAGTCATTATAATTCACAATTTATTTTGAGTCATTATAATTAACAATTTGATTGGAATCATTATAATTGACAATTTGATTTGAGTCATTTTAATTAACAATTTTCTTTGAGTCAAATTTATTAATTTTTAGATACATAATTAATTTTTAGATGCATAATTAATTTTATTTTCTTTGTAAAGAAATTAATTTCAATAATCGTTAACGGCCCGTTTTCTTTCTCTTTCTCAAGATACGCAACTGCGCTTGCGCCACTCGCACTCTCTGATTGGTGGAAAGTAGTGGCGCAAGCGCGGTCATTGGCTCTCCGCGCGCATGCGTCTCTAGAGGGACAGAAGAGGGGCCGTTAGACACTCTCTGTCTCTTTCTATCAACTTGACGGGCTTCTCGCGGTTCTGTATTCTTTTAATCGATTTTTAATTGGAAAATATTTTTACATCTCGTGTAAAGAATAAAATTGTTAATTAATTTGATAATTTTCGAACAGTGTAAATAGAATTTTTGAGTTTAATTTTTTTTTTTATACATTCCGTTTATCTTAGAATAAGCGGAAAAAAAATTCCTTTTTTTCTCCTCGTATTGTTTTCGAATGTATTTTACCAGACAAAATTTATTTGTACAACTAAATTGTATTATTTTATAAATTTCACTTATTTGTATTCAGTAAATATACATTTTCGTTTAATTTATTCTCACTTTTTTTCTGTGTTTTATTTATTCTTTATTCTTTGTGTTTTTTTTATTACTCTTCAGTATTTAATATTATTGTTCTTTTATTTTATTCTCTATTAATATTATTTTTTATTTTATTCCCTTTTATTATTTTTAATTATTTTTTAGAATTTTACTTTAATAGTATATTTTACATTTATTCCTTCCATAGAAAATTAATTGTTAATATAAAATTCCTTTTTTTTGTAAATAATTTTTATTATTTATTTTATTTATTCTATTAATTGTATTAATTGAAATAAGTTTTATTTTTATTTTAAAGTAAAATACAATTTTTTTTAGTGATGCACGACGAGAGTGCATTATTATTTATTTTTTTCGTTATGAAAATTAAATTTGAAATTAATTTTCAATCTAATCATTTTGATTAAAGTGGTAAATTTTATTAATCGAGAATTTTTGTTTTTTATTTTGCAGATCCTTTACAATTGGCATCGCAGGATAATGATGGACTGAGACATTATTGTCCGAATTGTAACCGAAGTTATAAGCAACTTTCGCACATGCGTCGCCATTATAGATACGAGTGTGGAATTCCCCAAAGATTCGAGTGCCCTTATTGTAAATATCACTATCGTCAACGAACCAGCGTTTGGTCTCACATTCGAACAAATCATCCCAATAAAGAAATGTACTGTGTCGATATCGTCACCAATGGTATTCTATTCAGAAAAGATCCAAAGTCCGATTAAAAAAAAAAAAAAAATTATAAAAGTGCCATTTTACGAAAATATTTTGGACATTTTTCTATCAATACTTATATTGTTAATAAAAAAACAAAATTACTTAAAATTTATAACTTAAATTGTTATAAAAGAATAAAAAATATTTATATACAAGTTGTATTTATTTATAATGTTAGTTCTAGTTCTATGTTTAGCTAGTGATATAATAAAACAAATAAAATTTGTTTTTACCAACATGATAATAATTTTTCTTGTGGACATTTTTTTCGTGAGTAATTTTCTCAAAATGATCATCAAAAAAAAAAAAAAAATTTTTGTTGTTGTTGACAGAAATGAATTTTTTATTTTTCAGGAGCAATGTATAGAATGTATCGAGTAAGGGGACAGGGAAATGAAGTAATGCCAGTTTCTAATCGTCATTACTGTCCGAATTGTCATCGAAGTTACAAACATCGGAGCCACTTGCTCCGTCATTATAATTACGAGTGCAATCCAGTGCAAAGATTTGAATGTCCATATTGCAAACATCATTTCCGTCAACGAACGCACGTTTGGTCCCATATACGGACAAATCATCCGAACAGAGAGTTTTTCTGTATTGACATTGCAACGCAAACTAAATTGAGTCGACGTAATCCTGGTAGCAAATAAAAAATGAAAAAAGAAAATAAAAAATGAAAGTAAAAAATGAAAATAAAAAAGAAAATAAAAAATAAAATTAAAATAAAGAAAAATAAAAAATTTAAATAAAAAATTAAAATACAAATAAATATAAAAATGGAAATTCAAATATGAAATAATTTATGAAATATTTCATAATAATTATATTGAAACAATGTGTTTGATTCAAAAGCAAAAAAAAAAAGAAATGAAAATTATTTACATTCTTGGGAAAAATTTTTTTTCAGTGTTTCTACACTGGGAGAATTTTATTAAACAATAATTTGAGAATATATCTTGGTTTATTTTCAAAAGAGTATTTTCCATGTAATTTATTCTTGAGGTTGAAATTAAATATTTTTAACGTAAGAAATATTTCTTATGATAAAAAATTTCTTACATACAAACTTCGGATATTAAGACTTTTTTTTATTTATTTATAACTATGTTATCGAAAAAGTCAATTTTGTTCGATTTATTTTCAAAAAATGCGACTTTTTTGACTTTTTATTCAAATATTTAAAAAAAATACCACATTTTTAAGTATTTCTTTTTTTTAAATCAAATTTTGAAGAATTTTAACTGAAAATTTTTGAAAATAATTGAATTTTCAAAAGTTTTAATCAAAAATTCTTCAAATGATAATTTGAAAATGAAAATAAATTAAAATTAGCTTCAAAAAATTATATTGAAATATTGTTTAACAGAACTACAAATTTTTGAAAATTCAAAAATATGCTCAAAAAATAATTAAATTAAAATTATTTAAAAAATATACCTATAATTTTTTAGAATATTATTCTTAAAAAATTTGGAAAAATCGAATATTTTCAAAATTTAGAAATATTATAAATAATTGTATTTTTTTGAATTTTTCATGAAAATAATGGTATTTTTTTAAGTTTATCATTAAAAATTTTTGAGAATCAAATTTTGAAGAATTTTAACTAAAAATTTTGAAAATAATTATTGAATTCTCAAAAGTTTTAATAAAAAATTCTTCAAATGAAAATAAATTAAAATTATCTTCAAAAAGTTATATTTTGAAACATTTTTCAACATAACTACAAATTTCTGAAAATTCAGAAGTATTGTTAAAAAGTCATTTTTATAAAGTTTTTGAAAAAATATGATTTTTTAAAGTTATTTATTAAAAAATTGGGAAAAAACGAATAGTTTTAAAATTTCAAAATATTAGAAATAATTGTAATTTTTTGAAATTTTAATTAAAATAACTGTTTTTTTTCTAGATTTTCATTAAAAATTTTTGATAATCAAATTTTGAAGATTTTGAAAATTATTGAATTCTTGAAAAAGTTGTAATAAAAAATTCTTCAAATGAAAATTTGAAACTGAAAATTAACTAAAATTAGTTTTAAAAAATTATATTAAAATATTTTTTAAAATACATTTCTCCGAAAATTAAAAAATATTAAAAAAGAAAATAAATTGCATTGAAATTTTTTTAAATATCTAACTTTTTAGAATTTTTGATTAAAAATTTTGGAGAAACAAATACTTTCCAATTTTTTTATTACAATTTTTCAAAGAAATTGATGAGCTTTTGTTTATTGTCCAAATATTCTTTTGCAAAATTCATTTATTTTCGAAAAATTGCATATAACAATAATTTTTTGGAAATTAATTCTCAGAATTTTTTTTTGAGTTATTCAAATTTTGGAAACTTTATCTTTTTTTCTATTAATTTGTAATTAAATTTCTTCAAAAATTTTTCTTAAATTCTTTCATTATAATTTTTTAGAAATCAATTATTTTCAATATTTTTCGTTATAAACGATCGTAAATTATTTTCAATAATTAACAATACTTTACATTAATTTAATATTATATTAATTTAATTGTATATTTATTGAAAAATTCACTTTAATAAATGTAGGAAAAAAACTATAAAAAGTTACAGTTAAAATTATAGTAAATATTTGAATTTTTGAAAACTTTAATGAAACTTATTATAAAAATAATGGATTCTTCTTTTTTTTTCTATCTTTAATCGATATAAAGTAATTTTTTTTGCATCGATTATTCGAACTGTAAGAATAAAATTAAATTGTTTTTATTCTAAAGAAGAAGCCAAGATTTATTCTTAAATTGAGAATATAATTTTTTCACTGAAAAGAAAAATTGATGAAGGGAATAAAAAAAATTTTTGAGAGATAAAAAAAATTTGAATCAAATGTGTTAATTACTTGTGGTATTAAAAATTATATTAAAAATACTTGTAAACTTTGTGATATTATTTTTCGTTAACAATTTATATAATTTACGACATATTTATGTATAGTTAAGAACAAAAAATAATTTCTTTAGAAAAAACCTTGAAAAAAACAATTTTTTCTCAATGAGAGAATTTGTTCCTAATTTTTTGTCAAATTGGTTTTAAAAATCAAAATTTTGTTGTTTAATTTTTTCAGTCTACTTCTAAGGACACGTGAGAAAATTTCTTTGATGTATTAAAATAATAAAATTTCATGAAATTAACTGGTATCTATGAGCATGTTTATTACTATTATTATTATTATTATTATTATTATTATTACATATTATTATTATTATTATTATTATTATTATTATTATTATTATTATTATTATTATTATTATTATTATTATTATTATTATTATTATTATTATTATTATCACTGGAAAAGTCTTATATTTCTCTACATCATTTATTTCTCTGTTTGGTCTATAAATATATAGTAGTTTTTGAAAAAGTAATTCTATATGTGCTTCTGTTGGAAAAAAAGTTTTTTAAAAATGTCTTGGTGCCCATATTTCAGAAAAAAATAACAAATTTCAAATTGTCTATATATGCTTGATTAAAAAATTTTTCTCAAAAAATAGAAATGAAATTGTGTACGATTTTATGTTTTTGATTTAATTTTCCAGGTAACGAAACAAATATGGGTGAATATGTTGTTTTCTGCCAGGACGGAATAAATCAGACATGCGAAATGTTTCAATGTCCAAATTGCAACAATGTCTACAAGTGGAAAAAATCATTAGTTATGCATCTACGCTATCAATGTCGGAAGCCGCCGAGATTCATTTGTCTTCATTGCGGTGCAAGAAAATATCAGAAGATTCATATTGTCAAGCACATTAAATCATATCATCCAAATTTGCCCGAGTCATTTTTGGACAGTGCACAATAGATTAATTTTAATTTGTTTTTTTTTTTTTTGAAAAAAAGAAATAGTTTTTTTTTTCGATATTATAATTATAAAAATTATAATATTTCAATAGAATATAATAGAATATTATAATTATAATATTTTATAATTATTAATATAATTATAATAGTATAATTCAGAAATTATATTTTAATATAATTACAATATTATAATTATAAAATTATAATATAAATAAAGAAATCGTGAATGAAATATTGTTAATTATTTATATATAGTTTTCGATTTAGTGTTAATTATTATTCGAATTATAGTATTTGAAAGAAATGGCGTTGACAATAAATTTTGATTCTATTGTAATTAAATTAAATTAAATTATTTTGACAATTATTGATTGTATAATTGTTATTATAAAAATCGAAATTTGATTCTTTTTTGAATAGGCGAAAATGAGTATTATTTAAAAATTATTGTTTCTTAATTTTTTTTTCTTCTAAAATAATGTTTAAAGAGAAATCAGTCAACAATATCTAATTTTGTAAATCTTTTATAATATTTTCGTTTTTGAAAAATGTCACATGATACATTTATTCATTGACAAATATATGTAAAAAATAGTTAATAAATCTTTTTTGAAATGATCTGCACTGTTTTGTCGATTCGAAAATTGAAATGTGAGTTTTTTTCTTTCAGTGAATGTTAATTTTATTGATAATTAATTTCTGATATTTAAATTTATTATTTACTCTTATAATTAAATTCCGGATGTAAATTAACAATTAATTTTTGAAATTTAAATTTAATATTACCTAATTAATTATTAATTATTATTTAACTCAAATAAATTATATTTGGTTTAAATAAAATTCAACAACAATTTCGATTCGTTTTTTGTCTCAATTTGATATCTGCAGAAAAATTGCCAAAAAAAAACAATAAAAGAAAAATTAAAAAAAGGAAAAAAAAATAAAATTAGGAAAAAATAAAAAATTTCCTGATTTTTAAATTGAAATTTAAAAAAAAAAATAGAAAAAAGGAAAAAGTAATTAAAATTAGGAAAAAATAAAAATTTCCTGATTTTTAAATTTCAATTTTTGAAAAAAAATTGAAAGAAAGGAAAAAATGAATTAAAATTAGGAAAAGAAAAAAATTTCCCGATTTTTAGATCAGATTTTATCACTTGCTTTTTGTGTTTCAGATTCGCTACTACCATCGACGGACGATGAGGTTTGTTTTGCGTCGATTGTAAAAAAGCCCTATCCATGTAAAAAGTGTGGTAGGAAATTTGCCCTCAAAGGAACGAGAAGTCGACATTTAAAATACGAATGTGGACACGAAAAGAGATTTCAATGTCCCTATTGCAATCATAAGAGTAAGCAAACTTCGCCTGTTTATGCGCACATTCGACGGAAGCATCCAGACAAAGAAGTCTATATTTTCGATTTAAAACTATAATTTTAATTACCACAATATAATTAAACAAAATTAATTATAATTATCATACTCGAAGAAAAATTCTTTATAATTTTTCTTTATATTACGAAAAAGTATTTCGACTCATTTATTTTGTACCAAAAACACCGAAATTTGTATTCGATTTTGTATATATATATATATATATATATGTATTTATTATTATTGTTATTTTAATAATTTAATAAATTTGAGAAAAGACAAACTTTTCATATTTTCTGCGAAAGGAAAAAAAAATTATTTCTCTCACTGGTCTGTATTTTATTTGAAAAAAAATTTATTCACTTATTTACAAAAAAATATTTTCTGCAAAAGGAAAAAAAAATTATTTCTCTCACTGGTGTGTATTTTATTTAAAAAAAAATTTATTTACATAGAAAAAAAAAATTGCCAGTGGGGATTTGAAATTTTTTTAATGGGAAAAATTTTGTGATTGCAGAGGAATTAAATTCGAGATGCGTCTATGGTGGAGAATATGAGGCTTTACAAATAGAGGGGAATTTTGAGAATGATGTGCCAAGAAAGAAGAGTTATCAGTGTCAAAAATGTGGAAACGGTTATACTGTGTGGAAAAGTTTAATTCGTCATTTAAAATACGAGTGCGGTTTAAAGCCGAGATTTAAATGTCCCTATTGCAATTCGAGAGCAAAGCAAAAAGCTCATATTAAGGATCATATTCGGAGAAAGCATAAGAGTAAATTAGTTTACGTTCTCGACCAACCATGTTAAGGATAGAAATTTAAATTTGAATACAAAAAAAAATAATAACTAAATAATTTTATTTTCATTGTATATTATTCTCGACTGAAAATAATGTAATTTTTAATTTCCCTTTTACTAGAACAATTGTCTTTGGGAGAAAAAAAATTAATTTTATTTCGAAAGAAAAGATATTAAAATAATAAATCTAATTCATACACTTGATATTTTTCGAACTATTATTTTCATTTACTGTCCCCGAAATTTTTCAGTTTCATTTCTTCCCGTAAAAATAATAAAAATAGGGGTCGTGGGTTTGTACGAATAAGTGAAAGCGTCAGGTCGATAGAAAGAGACAGAGTTTCCTTATCGGCCCCTCTTCTCTCTCTCTTTCTCTAGAGACGCATGCGCGCAGAGAGCCAACGACCGTCGCCAGGAGCAACTGCGCCTGCGCCACTATTTTCGACCAATGAGGGAGTGACGCTCGCGCATGCGCTGAGAGTCAAGGTCGAAACAGGGGCCGTTAAGTACTCTGCCTCTTTCTATCGCCCTGACTCCTCGCTTTCACTTTTTATTACAAATTCGCTTCCTCTATTAAAAAAACCGAATAGAAATTATAATAAAAATTATCCACTGATAATAACAGATGGAAATTTGTGTTAATTAGAAAGTACTTTAGATTTTTTTTCAAAGCGCATGTTTTAGTTTTTTTTTTTTAAAGAAAATCGACTAGCACGATAAATTAATAAAAGAGATAAGAGGAATAAAAAAGATGGTGTGGTATAAGCGAAAGAAAGGAAAAGCATGAAAGTAAAGTTAAAATTGCATTAATTGAAAATCAAAAATAAAGTAAAGAGTCCTTCGATCTTAATAAAAAATTTCTATCTAATTCCTTACTCTCTTTTCTTTTTTTGCTTTTTGCAGAAAGAAGAGAAAGAACAAAAATTCTTCAGAGGAATTTGCCGGTATTATCGATATTAAAAAATATTGCTCCAATGTGGCTTGCAAAGCGAACTGCATTCCCTTATCGTTGCGAACAATGTGGAAAAGATTATCAGCATCGAGCGACATTAATTCGACACTCGAGACACGAGTGCGGCAAACCACCGCAATTCAAATGTCCATATTGTTTTCATCGCACGAAGCAAAGGGGAAATTTGTATCAGCACATTAGAACAAATCATCCTGGAAAAGATGTTTTCTGTAGCGAAGTCGGAAAAAATTAACGCGCCACTTAATTCCAGTGAAAATTGGAAATATTTCAATTTTTAAATATTTTAATTCTATTCATGAAGTTCTGATTTTAAAAAAAAAATATGAGCAATTCTACGTGAAATGATTAAGCAAAAATTATATTTATGTAATTTCTTTGTTCTTTATAAATTTCTTTGTCGATTTCTTTGTAAATTTATTTATAAATTTATTTATTATTCTAATTATTTATTAATTATTCGAAAAATAATTAATTATTCGTGCTTAAAATTAATTATTCGCGTTTTTCTCCATTCGTTTTATTCCGCTTGTGAGAGAACTTTCACGCCGTCTAGGCGGCAATGGAATGAAGCGTTTTGGCGCCAAATTCAAAAAAAGCGTCGAATTGCTCACATTTCAAAAAAATTGTAAAACTTGTACATTGTAAAAAATGTCTTTCGAGCTTTTACTTTCCATTTTCTCCCAAATGTATAAATTACAAATAATAAAAAATATGTTAATATTTATAATTTAATTTTTTGTTAACAATTTACAAATATTAAGAAACTTTATTTATAATTTATACACTTGGTTTCAGTTTGCAGGGCAGTAATTTATTTCTATTTATAAATTACATATCAAAGTCATTGAAAATGTTACCGATACAATACTTGTGATCCTTGTGATTTTATAAACCATAAGGTTATTTTAATTTAAGATACCATAAGGTTATTATTATTTTTTATTATTTTACATTGTAATATAAGATGATTAGAATTTAGAAAAATTAAAAATTGTACATTCTCGCCAGAAATGAGAAAGTAACATTAAAATCTTGAATTTGTGATTTTTTTTCGCTTATAGAATTTTATGAAATAAGTTTTATATATTGTCTTTCCAATGGGACATTCACTCAGGTATTTTATTATTTAACGAATGTATTTTTATCAACCCTCTTATTGTAAGCTGTATAGTATTTCAATAAACTGGCCAAATTTTTTACAAAAACAAAAAAAAAATGGTAAAATATTTTTAAAAACACACAAGTAATTCTTTATTTGAATTAAATTTTTTTCCTCAGCGCTTATTTTGAAGCACATTTTCTACTTAAAAAAAATCTCTTTTGTAAGTATGTTTTTTTTGCCAAGAAATTGAAATTAACACTTTGTCAAGCATTTATTTAACACTAAAATAAACAACCGCCTCTTACTCACCACTAATAAAAAAAATTCATTTCTTTCCAGGACCCGGGATGTCGACTTGGGGATATCATCAGCCACACGGACCAAATCGAATTTCACAACTGAAATCAAATTACATAATAAGCCCTCAAATTAGATATCAACAAAAAGCGAGTCGTAGTGTCGATAAAAAACCCGGCGTATTCAAATGTCCAAAATGTGGAAAGCACTATCGATGGTTGAGAAATATGAAAAATCATTTGAAAATCGAATGTGGAAAGGAGCCAAAGGAATGTTGTCCCTATTGTCCCCATCGAACGAAATACAAAAGTAGCTTGCAGAAGCATATTATTAGAATACATTTTTCTTGATTTGAAACAAATAATTGTTCCTTGAACAAGCAGGTATTAATTTAGGATTTTTTTTTTCTGGCCACGTAGTATTTATTTATTTGCATGAAAATAGGAGTTTTTTAATTTAAGTACGTGTGCAATACTTTGTTGAATTATATATGATTAAAAAAAAAAATGTTTTCGAGAGAAAATAATAATGGAATGTTAATAAGTTCTTCAACCAAATAAAAAAACACTATGTATACGACATGTTTTTGAATGTGTCAATAAAAAAAAATTAGTGTAATAAATTGTCAATATTTTGCAAAATAAATTTATGAGAAATATTATTGTGTGGAAAATTCTCACAATTCCTCCTCATTAAAAATAATTTCTTCTTTCTTCATTTCGATGAATTTTCTGCTTTTTTCACTTCTTACGACTTTTCTTTTAATTCTAATGGTAATTTACTTTTTATTCTAAACATATTTCTTTTTCTTTATAAAAATTATTCATCATCTAATATGAAGATCTTGTGATAAAGGGTTACTAATTTTTTTTATTCTAAAATTTCTTCTCTTTTTTCTTATTTTTATTAAAAATTATTCATCATCTAATATGGAAATCTTGTGATTGAAGGGCTACTAAATTTTTTTTTGTTCTACATTTTTTCCTTATTTATTTTTTTCAATAAAAATTATTCATCATCTAATATGAAGACCTTGTAATTAAAGGGCTACTAAATTATTTTCTATTCTAATATTTCTTCTTTTTTTAAATTTTAATAAAAATGATTCATCATCTAATATGAAGATCTTGTGATTAAAGAGCTACTAAATTTTTTTTGTTCTACATTTTTTTCTTATTTCTGTTTTTTAATCAAAATTATTCATCATCTAATATGAAGATCTTGGGATTAAAGGGCTACTAAATTATTTTTTTTTCTAAAATTATTTCTTTTTCTAATAAAAATTATTCATCATCTACTATGGAGATCTTGTGATTTAAAGGGCAGGTCCCGCTTATTTTTGTAAATAAATATTTTTTTTTTGTTTAAAACATTGTATTTTTGTGTTTTTTTTAATTGGAATTTTTGTTTCAGGTGTTACCTATACTTGTGAATGGTGTGGGCGGACATTTTCCTGGCCCTCGAGTCTTCGTCTTCATCAAAAAGTGGCTTGTGGCAAAGAACCGTCTTTCTGTTGTAATGTTTGTAATTACAGGTCGAATTTTAAGGGAAACCTCAAGAGACATTTATATAACAGACATCAAATTAATTTGTGCTAATTGATTTCAAGAATTGAGAGAAATTTACAGCGTATCAGTTCGATAGAAAGAGTCACAGTGTAACGGCCCCTCTCTGGCGCGCTTGCGCCGCGCTCACTCTCCCATTATAGTGGAAAGTAGTGGCGCAAGCGCGGTCGCTGGCTCTCTGCGCGCATGCGTCGCTAGAGGGGCCGTCAAGTATACTCTGTCTCTTTCTATCGCCTTGACGCTTCCGCCTATTCGTAGACTTTTTTTCAAAAACCGTCTCAAAAATGATTGTTTTCTCCCCCTGTAATTTATTTTCAATGACGCAGAATATTTATATTTATGAAATTTATAAAATTAACTTATAAATAAAAATACGAAAAGTAACAAATTTTAATGTAATAAAATTTTTGTAACTATACAACTGTCTTTTTATTTCTCTCCATCCACTGTGTTCGCATTTAATTATTTTCGTCCACAGTTCTATTAAAATTCACCAAATATTCGCACTGTAAAAATTTGTTTTTTTTTAACAACTGCTAAAGAAACTCATGTTCAAAATTGAATTTCAATTTTTTTTTTTCAAAAAACTTGTAATCTAAAATTGATTAAAATTTTTTTTTACTTATCGAAGTCCCTGAAAGAAATTTGAGAGGAAAAAAAATTGTTTTGAGTTGTAAATGCCTAAAGACTGTTTTTACAGTGTACCATCGATAGACCATTGAAAATTCATTTATATTTATTTCCTTGTGTCTTTGTTTTCAGTTTTGGATTACTGTCCTCCAATGTTACGCGTAACACGACGACGAAGAGGTATTAATGAAAATTTTAGAAATCTAAAATTTGCGATGGAAGCCATTGATAATGGATTATCGTTGAGAAAAGCCGAATTGAAGTATAACATTCCAAAATCAGTGCTTCATCGTTATAAGAAGAATGGAATTCCTCTCAAGAAGCTACAATATTTTTGAATAACTATTTTTCTATACAAAATATTATTATCATTTTTATGAATTATATTTTTTCTAAATATATTCAAGTCGACTATTTTGAATACTACTTCAATTGGAATTAT